TTTTCATTTTGCGCTACATTTTAACTTACTCGATCAGGATGAAAAATCACTAAATTAACTCGTTCCCGTGATCGTTGCGCTATGGCAGGAGTCGGTAAGTTTTGGGCCTCCAATAAGGCTCGGTGATAAGGTATGCCCTGTAGATGGGAGATGGCGAAATATTGTTGCCATGTTAGCCTTGACGATCGAATGCTCAACGAAGTGCGGGCTATTATTTTGACGCTCAAATATCATGATAACTGTCTTCAGGTTGCGTTCAATCAAGACCGAGCAATGTAAAATTACTCCCTGTGGTCAAGATGATTGTCGCGTGTGCACGCATTGCATTGCGATCGATGAAACTTCTCGTAGATGAAAGACCGCACTAGTGTTCAGTTGGTTTTCTGACGTCAATTGCCATCTTTTATGTGTACTTGAATGCCTTTTACTGAGCAACATGACTTGAACCGCTAACTAGATGCATGCAAGTCTCATCTCATGAGATGACTGGCTTGTATGGAGGCAAGGCTCTCAACATGGTCTACTTTTCCTGTTTATCTGACAGATTTGTGTTTAAAATCAAATATTTAAAGTACAATACGTTTAGACGGTAAGTAACACAGTTGGCAGCTGAGTAAAAATGCTAAAATAAATTAGAGTATAGATAGAAAATAGATTAACTCGTGTCTTACATAATTGTCGCATAAATTACAATATCAATAAATTACCTCAAAATTTGTAATTTTTTAATTTATGGGAGAAAGTTGATTAAGCCAGTGTTTGTGAAGACTTTCCCTCAGGAAGTAATTATCGCTTTTCCATACTTAGCATTTTCTGATCGCGTTATTATCCCGACACGATCGCCTTGTCTGGGTAACCCTCTCGAAGTCCTCAAACATTTGCACTGACTTACTTCAAACAGACAAACTTTGACAAACCGATACAACTAAGATATTAACAACTAATTTTTGTATCACATAATAATTGATATATATGTACAAGACTAACACAAAATTTTTACTCACTCATTCATTCATATATAATCACCGCGCACTGAAATTTTTTTTATTTATACCTCCCGTCGGTTTCGTCTCTATTCGAGTCGCTGCCTGCTTCTGGCGCTTGTTTGTTCAACTTTCTGGGCTCCGTTTTGCCTATCACGGCCCCGGCAAACTTTAAAATGGCTCTCTTGGTCGGCCGAGCTTCCCAAAAGTTTCTTTAATGTGACCACTTTCCCAAAATGAATTATTAAGGAGCTTACGTTTCAATAGCATCAATGATTATATGATAAAATTTGAGATGAGATTAGCGTAAAAACTTTGAACATTTCATCGGGATTTAACGTTTTACTTTGGAAGAGTGACTGAGGAGTATGCGTTTTATGTTCGTATGACGTTTATATTTTGTCGGTATTCATGCTCGCATGCGAAGGTAATAGGTCCGGAGACAACTATACTACGTATATTGTATTAGTATTAAAGGATCGAAATTTTTCATTCGTGAGTTCATGTGGTGAGTCTGCCTTTAAAAATCGGAATATTCATCAAATGATATTTGAACCATATTCCCGTTATTTTTTTGCCTGGTCGTTTCAAAACGCCTTAAATTTGACGATTAGAAATTAAACATCTTCTCTGTAGACATTTTTTTTACTATTCCTGTCATAGGCAGAGTTATGAATTTTGTCGGATATTTACGCGTGTAACGAAACTATCATCGACTCAATACAGCCATTAATGTTTTTTCACATATGAAATTCAAGAAATAAATCGGACCACATGATTATATATTGATGAAAATTGCTCATACAACTTGATTTTGATGATAAAAAAAACTTACGCTTGCTTCTTCGAAATAATTTTATCCCTCCTTCTGAGAAATTCTGATATTTTTAATAGATATTTTGACCTTCTCTTTATGTATGGCTTGAAGGTGCCTTAGTCATTCATGCTTTTCTGTGAGATTCTCATGCCATGTTTCTTGACCTGGACCCTCTTCTTAGTCTGTACCTCAACTGCGCTTCGTCGCCATCTCCATCCCAGGTTTTCAGTCTCCAATGTAGGAGTCCGGCAATTTCAAGTCGCGCTTCTACTCACCGTCTGCCAATTTTCAACTGGCTCTCGAGAATCACTCTGGGTTCCACCGAGGCGTGAGAACTAAATTGGAAGCCGCTCGGCTGCGGTGTGCCTAGCCGATAACTTGCGGCGCTCCGGGGATATTGAGTGGATATTGCCTGGATAGCAAATGGATATTGCTGTCTATGGTTTGTGACAGTGCGGCACACTTTTAATGACGTTTATATTACAAGTATTGATACTCTCACGGTGGTCAACTCCTCGCAGATGACCATTACAGTTGCGCTGTTAGCCCAGATAAGTAACTGCCACAATGGCCGACCATTTCAGTCAGGTCGGCAGAAATGGATTATTTTCAGTGGATTCAATTTCGTTTTTGTTGAATATCGCTGTCATCGTCTGTATTCCTCCGTGTTTTGCATTTTTCATTATTACGTTCAATGTACGTATAGAAAAACGATTCACAACCGCGTAGCTATACGCCCATTTAATTTTCTCTATTTCTTTAGCTGCAATGCGCATTAAACTTCAATTTCCGGCCGAAATTTTAATCAAGTGCTACTTGCATGCATGCTAAGCTTGCAGAAGGCTTTTTTGACTGCATTACTTCTACACATTACTTCTACACAAGTCTTGACTACAATATTGTCCTATTTTTTTCAGAAATTTTCGATTGATGATTTTCGACTCACGACTCAGCAGGCCTCCGAGCCTTTGAACTCGTTTAAGCCGCCAACTCCGCAATTCCTGTGCTAATGATCGCTTTTAATTTTTAATTGCGCTTCGCTAGCTTGAAATTATCACCCGAGTTTCTTCCTCAAAATTGCTCGTACTTGAGCTAAATTTTGAACTTTCGTTCTCAAAATTACTGGACAAAGGCCTGAGCTGCCTGCATGTTTGCTATCCATGCACAGAGGCTGGCTGCGGATTATATTTTGAGGTGTTGTGTTTGAAACGCGAGTTTTCCTAAAAATGTCATTCAAGCAACGACCAAAAATGTATTTTATGTTCTACAAGTGGAAAGTCGCTCGCATGACCATTTTTGTGCGTGACTGAACCGTTTTTTTAAGTTTTAATCATATTTCACCAGTTAAATCAGTGACAATTATTTATACTTGACGAAAAATTGACTATAGATTGTATAAATTATTCAAATCGGTACCTATTATTAGTAAAACTTGTGCGTAGGAACGATGACATTCACTCGCCCCACTTAGCTACGCTTCTGTGTCTTTAATCGCCGACCGATCCGTCTCTTTTGTGTGGACCACAATTGGGGTCTCCCGATAAACCTGCTGCCAGCTATAACAGCCATGCTCCTCCGCCTCTCTGGGACTAAGAATCTTTACAAAAGAACTTCTTTATCGCCGAGAGACTCTTGATACTTCGCCTTTGCTCTGTCTTTATATATTCAAGTCCTATACAAAGTTACTTCTATGGTGATCTGCATGGACTACATTTCTTCTTCATTTGGTTGATCGCCTTGTGCGGTTCATCATCGTTTTTCAAGTCCTAACTTTAGTTTTTGGAAACTAAAATACTATGAAATATGTGATCGAATTGCCCTTAATTTACTTGCCATTATGAATAGAAAAATATTTAAATTCATTTCGACTGATTAATGTAAAGAATTTATCAATTTTTACTTGATTCTGTTATCATCGTGTTAATTTTTTATTTACACCACTCTTTAATGCGATCGAGTTGTATTCAGAAATGTACGAGCTTACTTGTTCATCATATTGTTTTCAATTAATCCTAAGACATCCTTACATATGACTTTCCCGGGTTCTTTTTTTCGTGAATTAATTACTACCAAAGAATCTAGGGAAGAACAATAATGAGGGATATTCTTTGTTTATTTCGGCCTATTCCTTGTGTGTTCTGTGAGCAATTAACTTGTTTCTGCTAAGTGCTTCATGCTATTCCAAGTTTTCCTTGTACCTTTTACACTACTGTTTCTCTCCTATATGTTGATTTAATCAATACTGCTTGTACAGTGCGCAGGTCCTAAACGTTGAAAAAAGTTGAATTGTTGAATGAAAAAAGTTTAATTGTTCCCAAACACCGCATGCCTGCATACATATACATACATCAGTGTCGAATACATTATCGTCGACTCAGCAAACGTAAATCCACGCTATTAGATCCTGATATTTCTCAATGGAATTCCATATATTTTTGTAATAATTATAATATTCTTGTTCAATTTGTCGTTTACTTTTGCCTCTAAATATTTTGATTCGTAAACTATATATGTTAATAGCATTATTTTTCCCACTCTTGCAAGTTAACATTTCTTCAGCGAGCAGCATTTGAAGAGTGTCCGAGGAAAGAATGTGATGCAAAAATAAACTTAGAAATGAAAAATGGCTTCGGAGAATCATTTGCTGCCACCATACATCGCGTGTTGTAGCCCATGCGCAGGAAACCTGCATGTTTACTGACCAATTCGTGACCGACCACCCAAACAAGAGCGACCTGCTTCTGTACGAGCAGCTAAATTTACTACCGATTGAAGGGGCCTCTGTTGCCCAATTCGTCCTAGCGCTAGCCATATTGCTTCATTCTTGCTGAGTGGAACTGCCTTCTCGAATTGCTTCCTTCATTGGGTAGAGAATAACTTCACTGTACACTCAGGATGTCTTAAATACTTTTCGTCGCAACTTAAATATGTTCAATACCATCAAAACAGATTTTTTTTACTTTCTACGTTTTACCTTATACGCTTATTTGTAGTAATAGATTTCTCCCTCTAATTCTTTTCTACAGCAGAATATTGATCCTACAACCGTACAAGAATCAAGTGTGAAACGATTAAACCATAATGCTTGGTTACATATAGTCCTTTTAAATGATAAAACATATATTTGAATGCAGTTTATTGTCATTATTGTTGTGGTTATGAGTATTGTCCTCATTAATTTTTCGTTTGTTTGTGTGCAGTTCAACGCAACGGCGTTGTTCCGAACTTCAACTGCCCGCCATCATACTGGGAATTTTGCGCCTTCGCCCATACCTCCAACTCCGTCACCCCACTCGACCGCCTCCAAAGTGCCTCTGCCAATGCCAATTATCGAGACCATCAAGCGTCAAGTGACGAATCGGGCGTAGATAATTCATCGCACGATATTTACGATGAAAATTATTCAACTGATGACGAGGAGTACGTTACTACAGATTCAAGTAGCGAAGAATTTATCGATCCCGCATCCTCGACTGGTCGAGGTACCTTTATTTCGCCGTTACTTGTTAATTCCAAAAAAGTTTCAACTTCAAGATCGACGAACTCAGATCATGGTATAAGTGGTATATTAAAAAACCAGCTTGGCGCCAATGAAAACGAAGGAAAACAAGTTGACGCCCTTGATGAAGACTCGACAGTGTCGCATGATCCGAACAACGTCTCCCAATCACCTACATCATCATCTGCAGCCTACATCAGCCGACCATCATCTGCAGTTGATGTACAATCAAGTGATCGTTTTGAATCAATGGCCAATAATAATAAAATATCAGAAAATGAAAATGAACATCTGCATGCAACTGCTTCCCTGTTTAATACAACCGAGGAGAGGTATTTACAGGCTCCGAAAAATTCTGGCTTTACTTCAAACATTTTCAAGAGCGCTGCATCGTCACCAACGTCTGTAGATGTATTTCCAACATTGCTTGGCGAAGAAATGCATAGCATCATCGACCCTAGCCTTGCAGAGTGAGTACAGTATTCAGGGCATATCAAATTTCGTGAGAACTACTATATTATTAATCTATGTAAGACGAACATCATATTTCATTTCTAAAGACCATCAGTGATCTATTCCAACCTGGTCTTCAGGTCATAAATCGAAGTTTATTTCTACCCTGTCATGGAGCCGTGACTTTTCTTTAAGGTGAGAACGTAGGACCGATTGTAATCATGCTTCTAGTTACTAAAAATGTGATCGAAATGAAATCTAATTTTTTTTACCGTAATATCGACAAATTGTTGCCTGACCTCTAAATAGTAACTATTAATTTCTGTCTTATTTGGAGTGAATAGACAAATCATTTAATTTTTCTTAGCATGTTTCAATCTGCTACCATAAGCCAGTAAAATCATCAAGCACACCAAGATAACAATGGTCGAGAAAGTATCTTCGTTTAAAACATTTCGGTCATGTTTAAGAACAAATAGATCTGCATTAGTACAAGTCGAGAGGTCAGTTTATGTTCAGACTGCGATGCTGTACCTCAGCATTAGGCTTCCTCCCGGGACGCGGTGTGTCGTCTGTTCTCACAGGTGGGACTGCTATGCATTATACAGAACCCTAACCCGATTGTAAGTCCGTTCAGCTTGTTACCGAGGCTCTCATGGCGCTGCGAGTAACTTCCTTTTCTTTTATTTAATAAGAAATGCCCGCTGGGAAGTTGCAATGACTTGCTTCTCAAGTTCCGCTTGCTTCGCCTCGGGTATTTTTTCCGGTAAGTAGCTCGGCGTAAGTTTTGCCTTCGTACCCCCTTGCTCCTCCCTTGCTTCCTCTCAGACAGATTCTTCGCCGCTGGATTTGTTCGCTTCATCTATTGTTATCGAGGTCCTTAATGCTTTAATGCGACTAGAGCTTAGCATGGCTGGTGATTATGCTAACGTTTAACTTATCGAAGTGACTGTCGATCGAAATGCTAAATAATTTGAACCTACATCAAGTAGTGTTCAGTATCGCGTAGCGATTTTAAATCCCAATATTTCAACCTGATGTATCACGAAAGAGATACAAATAGTGATTAAATACATTAAGCTGTCTATAGTGTGAAGTTTTTGCATTGTTTTTTATTGCAAAGTGCATTTTATTATCTTTGCAGACCACACACGACGAACACGTCATACGTGAGTGACTCAACAAGCCTGCACAAGGTGCTCATGTTACGCAGTATGACGACCACGGGTCTCAGACAACCCGTCCTGGTCCTCTACACTTACGCACTCGACCGTCAAGCTACGTACGTCCTCAGTCTGCTCACTCGAGACGCTCGTGTCAACTCCACAGGACTCAGCAAAATGATACTCAAATTCTCTCCTGAACCTAACGTCGTGAGTAATAATCGTTTGTCGTATGACATTTTAACTGTAGAAAAAAGAACATGCAGTCTGATTTGACGCATAAATATAACTCGGAACTCGATAAGAATTAAAACGAAACTCGCTTATCTCCTCATCATTTTTGTTCTAAGCGCTCACCCACTCTCGTCCAACCTACTCGTACATATGTGCATTTCTCTGTTGCAATCAATTGTATATATCCTCTTACAGGCTTCAGACATTATAATTTATCTCTCGTGCATTAAGGTATCGAATTCATTCCTGCCAGGGAATTCGTCCTGATATGTACTTTAGGTACTCGCCTTTATTTCGTGTACCTATTGTTTTCTGTTCATATTTATTTTTTTGTTTTTGCAGGAGGGCTGTTACGTGCGACCTGTGAACGGAAGTTCTGGCGGACTTTTCCGCGGTACGTGTTACGGTTACTCGGGCACATATTACCCGGTGATATTTCAATGGAGTTACCATCTCACACCCCTCGAGAGCAAAACAATTTTTTATCACGGCTCCCTGCCTGAAATTGAATTCCAGTTGCCCCCTGGCAGCGAGTCGACAAACTACGAAGTTTTTGTCACCATTAAGATCTTTGATGGCAAGGGCGTGAGCAAGACGCTCCCAACAAAAACAGTGTTGGTGCCGCCGAGACACAATAGCGGTGACGGCGTGGTGGCCATATTCAAAGAAATCTCCAAAATGGATTCGTATAACCCTTGCTTAGAATTGGAAAAAATCAGAGCCCTGACTTCGGAGCTGAACTCAATCGATAACAGCGTTATCAGTCAGACTGTTTTCGATAACATCCTGACAATTCTTTTCTACCGTGAGTCGTGCATGGATAGTCTCGAAACTATCACCGAAGATCCCAATGACGTAATTGCTGACAATTCCGTAATCGAAAGCTTCTATCGCGTTAACATGTTGAAGTCGTGCGCTCGGGACCATCTCGCTGAGATCACGTGCGCTTCTCTTATTAGAGACGAGATGGAGATACTGCTTGTTGAGACGACCCTCACAATTATCCTGGATACCCCCGACTTCATCTCGAGTAAGACTTTCTTCAGAGTCGTGGATGCCATGTGGAGAATTCAGAAGCAGCACATGCAGCTATGGGATTATCGAACCGAAATTCGCAGCGAGGTAAGTTGAAGTTCTCATACGTTAATAGATTGTAATTATTACTCTTATTTCATATGCTACGTTATAATTCTAGAACAGTATTTCTTTCTCATCTCTTTAGTGTCTTTTACATGAAATTACGTAGATTTAAATTCAGAAGTTTTTTTATTTATGTCGTGTCTAGCATTTTGTCACTATTTTTTCTCAATGAAACAGGTCGCAAAGCATTACTTTGCTCTGGTGTCTTCACTCCTGGACAAACAAAGCGAATTATACGACCTTCCGGCCGTGTCGGTCGACACGACCAACCAACTAATTTGGTCGCTCATGCGCGTCATGGACAAGGAGGTACGGTCTCGTTTCCTCGAAGAAAGCCCACTGAAATATTCTACTTCAACGCTCGAATTCACGGGATTTTTGTCAGAAAGCGACAGCTTTACCAACAGCCAGGTACAGTGGATGTTTACGATCAGCGGTGTCGACGCGGAAACTTCGATTCCTGTTCATTCGGTGCTGTGTTTGGAGCACTTCAAGTCCCCTTACATGGTGACCGAGGGCCGCGGCGTCGACGTGTCCAGCCACGTCCTGCATCTTCAGCTGGCGCGATCTAGGTTAATCTGGACTAATATTCAGGTAAAATTATTCTGCCTTGTGTTTGGAAGATTTTTATTTGGGCTGAAAAATTACCTTCATGCATCCTCAATATATTATTATTATTACAACTGTTAACGTGGATTGCTCCTACTTTCGACGTAATAGTTGAGCGTTTAAAATTCTGGATACACTTCTTGATCTATCTTATAACTTATTCAGAGCCAGTTCTTCTTGTTATAACCAAAGTCCTGATTTATGTTCATACTTTGGTATCAACCTATAAATACATTCAAAATTTAACTTTACCGAAGCCGTCGACGTTGATAAAAATAATTATCAGCGAACAAAATTATCAATATAAATAACATCACTGCAGAGATACTAGTTGAAGAATCACCTTTTATCGTTATTCATAATCACAATGAGGTTATTTCTTCAATATTATTCATCGCTTTCTGGATATTCGAGTGCGCTCTAAAAAACAGCCAACTTCTGCCCATTTACCATCGAACTCATTTCCTGTTGTTGTTGTCTTGCAGAGGGACTTTTTTGCTTAGCAATCTTCCTGTCTTATAGATGCCAGACAATTCTATGTTTTCTTTCCACAAACAATGAATTTTTTTCCATTTATGCTTGGTGTAAGTTAGTTATTGTCTCACTATTTTTCACATTATGTATTTTCGACCGCAATGATTTTAGCTAATTCCGAAAAACTACGGATTTCTGTTTTAAATGAATTATTCTCTGATTACAAAGAGGAAAGATACGAAAATATCAACTTTATCTATCAGCTCAATGTTAATGCCACCACGCTTGAATTTTTCCAATTACGTAATATTTACTAATTAATAACTATGTACGATATAGGTAATAGTATCTACTCTGCGTTAATATACATAATAATTCTTTATATATTGACAAATTGCGGAGTATAGAATCGCGATCAAACAGACGACGATAATAAGCCAGATTTTTTCTCTCCCTCCTCTTGCAGGTTCGGTTGCAGAGGTCGCACTTTCTCACGCACTCAGAGGAGTACGACTTCCGGCGCCCTGGTACTATTTTGCCCGAGCGACTGAACGTCTACAAGCTCGAGATCACTCCTGAACACCAACATCAACCCCTGCATGTACAGCTTCAAGTTACTAAAGTCTACGATCCTGATTACCCTATCGCACCCATCGCACTTATTTGGTGAGTGCATGCAGACCCTTGTTACTTGTAGATTAATTATCACGAGTGTTTTGACTGAAGGATCATTTGCGCATTTAACCCATATTATTCAAATACGGAGTATCGTTTTCCATTTTTCGATTACATTTTTTGTTCTTATTTCAAGAACTGCAGCAAACTGTCGTGAATGTTGTACAGCCAGAAAGCTAAATTAATGTTTTTACACATAATTTATGTTTTTATCAAGTTAACTACGTTCAATATGCAATGTTGACACAGAACTTGACTAGGAAAACGAAAACACGGGCTTATTCGATCTTTTCAACTATGTTATAGAAATTAATCGATTTTCTGAAAAGCCTAGAACGCAGGAAAATACAAGAAGAGATCGAGGACCGATCAACACCGCGAACTGGATTGCTATATTATCTGTTGCCCACGGGCCTGAATCTCTGCTCCTTACCTGGCTTTGACGAGGTGAGCAAAGTTTTAGGTGTGTGGGAAACGGAGCTTTGCGACTGCCTCTGGAAAAACTTGCCGATTATAATTATCAAAATTGCGGATAATTTTAGAGTGTAAAAGGTATTACAAATTTTATTTCTGGTGTTCTTTTAATAGTGAGTAAAGTGATGCTGGTAATCGAGTTAACTGATGAACATTTTCCCCTCTAATTTTTACACAGGATTGTGGCTACACTTTACTAACAACCTCGATCTGAAAATTGCTCGATTTTGTTCTGCGACGACAGCCAATAGTGATCTCAACTGCACAAAATTCTCCATCAAGCGAATCGTGACTGGAGATTGGTACATCCCATTGCCATAGTTGGACGGGCAGCCTTAGTGCGGAGTTGTCTTTGTTTTGGTCCCCATCTGAAGCTGTCAGTTGTTCTGCATGCATGAGACTGAGCCCCTCTGGAGCTTTGCCCCACTGTGTTACTGCGAGTTGAGCAAAGATTCAGGGGGTTTCATTCTTATTGCTCTTGCAACTCGGCTAGGCATCGACGAAACTAAATGGGGATTTTCTGCGGCTGGAAGCATTATAACATTGTCAGCCAAAATGATCGCATTCTGAAGTACTTTTACTATATGAACATTCACAGATATTGTAAAATGTGTGACTTGTATAATTTCGGAGAATTCCAAAGCAAATAAAATAAGTAAAGGCATTAACTAGAAAAGTATTCCATAAAAGATGGGAATGATTTAATCTTCTGAGTAAATGCCATCCTATTATGTGATGAGGCTTTTCTTCCTTGCTTTCTGAGCACGAACTACAGGCTACTCCTCCCATACATCACCAAGCCACTTGAACTTCACGAGTCGGCTGAGCACTTGCAATGAAGAGAAAAAACAAGCCGCTGCCATAGCTGGACGCCTGACTCTTGCTTTTAACCTTGTTTACTATGATAGGTGAGCAAAGTTTCAGGTGTGTGGCTGTGGTAGCCAAACCGTCCAGAATATAGATGCATCCCTTCCTTCACCAACATAGTATATGGGGTGTTACTCTGTGAGTGAACGCACAATCCAGTTCACCTTTTTCCTACGAATAATGAATTTTACCTGCTAGTTGAGTTTTGCTTTTACCGTTTTAGCGGCTTTCTTGAATCACGATCCTTTCGTTTTTCCGCTTGATCTTATCGTGCTCTCGACCGGCAACCAATGAAGCGGATGCTCTGCACAACGGTACCGGAGCTCCCAACGAAATGAAGCAGATCAACTCGACTTGAACTTCTTTCGCGCTACTCCTAACTCGGGCAAGCACGATCCAGCTCTCATCCAGCCTTGACGATGTCGCTCCAAACCTATTGCTGTTCGAACTTCTCTACTATGCGCTTTAAAAATTGGTTCTGTGTTGGATTTTTCATGGACCAGGTTCTTATGCAAGTTGTCTACCAGTGATTTAAAATATTCTATTTTTGATTTTGTTCGAGTAATATTGTGATGAGCGTTGATGAGTGCAGGGCGGAAAGGAATTAGTTGTGTGCTTTTTGCAACATTTTTTTCAACTGAATTTGGCTCTTTAATATCTTCATAATTTAAGGGAAATTATCAGCATGGGTCGTGCTAAGCATTATATTGTTTGTGAAAACATGTATGGAATTTGTAAAAAATTAATCAGTGTTAAGGCTAGAGAATAATTGCTATGGTCGTTAGAAGAACAGCTGTTTATTTCTTATTGTCGGAAGGATGCGATAAAAAATGTCTCATGATTGGAAAACTTTTTGCTACTCCAAAATTAGCATTAGTAAAAATCACTGTTTATGCACGCTCAACATGCGCGCACTTGGTATTTTTTTCTTGTTGGTATGTAAATAAAACTATTTGACGTCGCAACATGCTGGATCCTGGCATTTATATAAGGGTTGAGGTATGCTGAACCTTTTCTTAGCTAAGATTTTTATCCTACGATGTTATTTTTTTAAGTACTTCCTCTCGATGATCCCTGTCGTGGCCGCCCGTCTGGAGAGACATCACGAGCTGCAGTTTTTGTGAATTAATCTGTCTGATGCCGACAATGGCTGAATACATTCGAGTGACTTGCAGATCTCAGTATATATTAAGATTTGAATAAGATTCAGTACCTGTAGGTCGATTTCATCGCTGCTTGGTGCTAGTTTCGATTTGTTCGATGTTTCATTTTATCTTTAGGTTCATATTAAATGTTAACCCAAAGCAGCACACGAGACAGAAGGGTTGAAATAAATATTTTGTATCATTGTATTGTTGTCTCTTGTGTCAGTTATTGTAACTAATATATTTCGTAACATCTTCCTTGCATGTAATTAATAGTCGTTAGGAGTGCATTCATTCTGCTGCTTTTATGCCATGCTTGCACTTGTTTTGTTTTAGAACTTTTTCGATAAGGTGCAAGTTCAAATTTTGTTTACTTGCTATATTTCTCCAAATATTTTTATTTTATTTTCATAAACTTTCAACTGCAAACTAATAATTCTAATTGTGTGTTTGATTATGTTACCGCGAAGGATGACTATTCATCCATTTCCCCAACTCGAATCATAATTTATTGCCCATGGAGTTACCAGCATCATCGGTGGTGACTTCATTTATTCTGATATTATTCATTCATTCTGATATTATAAGTGTACGCTTTCTCGCATACGTACACCGCTAATATCATGTCCTCGTACCCTATCTCATTAATAGTTTGATACCTGAAGCGCTAGAAAACCGTCCTACTACTACTAATACTACTACTATTCGTCAATTCTTCTCTTGACTCACGGTCTTGTTCCTATTTCAGCCAAGACATGCAGTCTCTGGATACTCCTCTGTACGAGATGCGTCTGCAGGCAACTCAGGATACAACAGAAGGAGTCCTGTTTGTTCCCCCAGGAGCGCTGCCGCCTGCTACCTACGTCCTCGTCATACTGGATCAAAACAGCTACGATAATAGATGGTGAGAACAAAGAGGCATCGATTAAACATAACTTGGATTGGTGAAACGACGTTCTATAAGCGACAAAGAGAGCAATTTTCCTATCAGTGATTACAATGATAAAGTGTTATTTAGTGACTGCCATTTCAGTGATTTACAAAGCAACATGCCTCTCTTATGGTAACCGAGGAAAATCGCTCATGGAATCGGAATTTGTCACTCCATTAGATGGGAAATTCGACTAATTCAAGATACGGAGACGAAAGAAGGCTAATGGAGAATACATCAATTGTTAAGGAAACGGACGCTATTACGTGGCTTGTTGTATCTGAGAAAATAATGAGGTTTTGCTGGTAGATTAAAAAAATTGTACATAACTTTTTTGTTTCTGAGTTTGATTTAGATTTAAATTTGATAGTTTGTAGAGAACAAATCGTTTGTTGCTAAACATTTCCCATCGTGCTGACGTAATTGCGTTTGTTATAAATCTTCGTTTCAATTTTCTAATTTCTTTTTTTTTTTAATTCGACGTATTGTTCTGAATTTTTTAGAATGTCGAAATAATAATTGAATATAAGTTCAAGCGTTCCTCCTTGGCAGAAAGAAAAATAACTTGATTTAGTTCAGAAGTTGTTCGATTTCTGTGAGGAGTTTCATGTCATTTATGCGTTAATGTGTAATAATGGTATCGTTTCAAGCGTTCTGCCAGCTACTAACTGTGATGGACGCACTGCATCCTTTTTTAATCTTCGTTGCAAAGAGACAATTCTTTATGTTGGGAGACAGTGCATTTAATGCATAGTTAATCTGGTATGATTATTGCAATAGATTCCCGCAAATCAGCTTGAAAGGTCGTTGATATTGCGTCATTTAAACTAGCGCATCTATCTGTCCACGCTAGTGCATGCTCTTCTCATAAGCGATGCATTTAAATGGAGTTCAGTCAGAGGAAATTCTGCTCATTGTTTCTCTGAATAAATAAATACCCTTCTGAATTTGAGGATTGGCAGTCTGGCGGCAACGCAGTGCGCACTGTAACGATTATGTTCAAAAGTGTAATAAGAAAGAGATTACATTTTACTACAGCCAACCAGTTTAGCTTAGAAATGTGCTTGGTGCAGTAGCTTCGGTTGCCAATATTTTGTTTTAATTTCAGTCACTGCTTGATATTTTTTCCGATGAACTAAACTCTTCGTACTTTCATGATATACCAAAACAAAGTACGATAAGGTTTTATGTCGTTTTTGTAATTGGTATATGCATAACTGTCTGGTATAAAACTCTGAATTACTTTGTCGCAAAAATTATTCGTTTGTCTTAATGTTAACACGTTTACAATCATTAGTTTTCGAATAAGTCATCTCTACTCATTCAAATTTTGTATAAATGACTACGATAAAGTAATTATCGTGGTACGTTGTTTTGCTCTGGGTATCTTTTTATTGAAAAAGAATAATTACCATTGATTATATTCATTTTGTTTCCGCTTTAAGCGCGTTTGTTAAATGAAAACCGTTTATTCTCTGTCTTTGCGGCGTATTGCGTACGGCCGCATTTGGATTACGTTGAATCGGATCCAAGTCCGACTTTTGTCTCTCTTGTTCATATTTTATTGGGTGGATGAAGTTCCATCCATTGTCTGCTGAGATCCTATGAAGAGTATTCCTGCGCTGCACGAGAGCGGAGTTGAAAGCAATTCCGCTGAAGACCAACGCTCACGACTGGCGGCTCAACGTCGCTCTGCCCATTGATTTATCGACGTCATCGCGTGTCCATGGAACCTTTATATAAGAAACCCTTATCGGCTTCCACATCTCTCCTACTTCTTGGGAATTCTGAAACTATTCTCGTCGTTCAATTGTAATGGTTTCTTTTTGTCTGAGAAAAAAGTTTTTGATGAATGATGTCGTTCGGTACGTCGATTACTTGAGGCTGGATCCGCCGTATTGTGATACAGTCATGGTTCACCTTCGGGCTAATTAGAGACCAGCAACGACAGTGATGAGTGGAAAATTGTTGTGTCCTTCTACCATTTGCTACATGGATACTTATTATACATATATTTTTTAACTAATATTTGCAAGTATTCGATAACAAAGTTTTGAAAACTATATCAAGTGCATGTTATCATTGTACCATTAAAGGACATTCAAGATGTACCTTTTTGCTTAACGAGATTGAGACAACATTTTTTCTTGACATTCCACTTACACTTACTAGGCATTTCCCGTTTTCTCATTTTGAATATCGCGAGAAGCGAAAATTCGGATATTCAGTTTATCTTTCTTTTATAACAATTAAGCTATTGATTCGTTCACTGCATGATTGCGTGCGAAGAAGGCATATTTATAGTCTGCTCTAGCCTTTAAGCAAGTCCAACCAATGCACTTTTTCGTTGAATTTTATTGCTTGCTTGCCAGTCAATCAGATACGTCTTCGTCGTGATTTAGCAATTTTCAGTTTCACGAATATTTTCGAACAACCCTTGATAAACTGAACCTGCGTGCGATGAATTAAACTTCCCTCGACAATTAAGTATCGAGGGATGACGAAAAATTTTGAAATCTTGTTTTCTTTATTTTCTCTTATCTTTTAGTTTGCAGAATGTTTTATTTGTAGCCTGACGCCTGTAATTTTTTCGTCATAATCCGTAGTTCTAAGTTCTCTTGAGTGTAAAATGTTTTGCCTTTATCGACTCCATGAATCATTAACCTTAGCGTCGTCTCACTTGCTGGTCGTTTGCAGGTCACGACGGATGTCGCTGCCCTCGTACTCGAGTTTGGCAGGCGCCGACTACCAGATCAGCGGCTGGTGGAGTGACTGTCTCCTGTGGAATAACATACACTGGGTGACCGGCCAGTGTACAGTCCTCAAGTCCACTTGGGATGCCATCACATGCAGGTTGTGCAGTTTTGAGTGTTTAGACATTTTTCGATTGTCGGTATATTTCCGTAGGTGTAGTCTCGAAAGCAAAACACGAGGTTTACAGGAAATATTTACTATTATGCTTTTGTATTATTTGACTGTTAGGTACAACGGATTCCATAGATTGGATCCGCCGTATTGTGGATCTAATACGTATTGGATCCGTAGGTAAATGTATTAGATGAAAACTTACCGTATCCATCTGATACATTTACTTACCGTTTTCTTCTAACTTTGATTAAATAAAAAATTGAACATTTTATGAATATTCCAAATATAAGCCATATTAGGTGTCATCATGCTCTGTTTAAATTGAGATAAGTTTTACTCTAGAATAAACTTTTAAAATAAATCTCTTATTCCAGCTGCAATTCAACCCTGACAGTCTACGGAGGCGTTGTCTACCCAATCTTGGACGAACAAGACTCGATGAATGTGAATGAACTCATGCTGCTGCAGTCGTACTGTGCACTGTATTTCATCTTATTTCTGTTCATCGTCTACATTGTTCTTGCTGTCTCACTTACAACGTCAGAACGAATCAATGTCAATAGGCAAAATGTGTGGCTACGAGAAAACGATCCTTCTCATGAACACGCCTACCTACTCACCATCAAAACTGGCACCCAAAAACATGCCGGAACTTCGGCTAAGGTACGAAGCTGTTTCTGTTACTAAATTAATCATTTATTTGATTTTTTTTCGTTTTTCTGTGGTTATTCAATTTTGGATGATCTTTTAAACTCATGGTTTGGTTTGTCAGAAGAATTAGAGGATTACATTGTTTCTAAGTGATTCAACAGAGTGCTCTTAATATTAGACTGTTAGCATCAGTTCAGGGATGAGGAGGGTGGGGTACATGTTGCAGGATTTCTTGCACTCCTCAGTCCGTATCGTCTCCCTCTCATATGCAAACGGCTTTTTCACAGTATCTTCTCTTCCGTTTGCTTGTTCTCTTTTTTATCTGTATTAAATTACTGCACTGCTTCTTGTCTGGCAACTTAAGACCATGTGACACTTATTTGCGAAAATTATTTGTATATAAACTTGTATGCAATTTATTTGTCCAATGCGACCTTGCACCTTGATTTTGATAGATAATTAGTGACTCGCGCAGCGACATAACTTGTTGTAAATTTGAAATTTCCTTTCTTTTTATTTACCAGGTATTCACCATTCTTCATGGTACGGCAAGCATGAGCGACACCAGAGAACTGCAGTCCAGCATCACAGATCATATCTTTGTCAGAGGCTCAGTTTGTTCCTTCATCATCACGTACGTCCTGAATAAAATGCGTCTCTTTCTTCATATGGAAAATGTTTCTTCATTTCTTCAGATCTAAATTAGATTGATATTATTCTTATATTATTTTCAAGCTTAATTTTTATGATGATATTCAAGGACGACGTATATTTCAATGGTTTATCTGGCTCTAACTCGCACGAATTTTTGCACAGGACTAAACAGGCACTAGGAAACATACTGAAGGTCCAGTTGTGGCATAACAATCAAGGGGATGAATTCAAGAGAGCTCAAAACTGCTCATCCACCAATTCTTCACATACGGAAACTACTGCTAATTTGGATGATTCTACGTATGGCAGTTCTCAAGATTTTTCAGGCTCGACTACCAACCCGTCGTCAACTTCTTCTCGGTATTCATCTCGCATCGATATAGCCATCCATCCTCCTTCGCATGCATCTACTTCGACTTCGGATGCAAACTTGGACCGAATATCACTAGCGCCTTCAATATCAAGTAAATCTGGCGATACAGTTGATCACGCCAGTGCACACTATACATCAAGCTCTACACACTCTCTGCACGAAAATTCGGATTCAAAGCCTTGTGAAGAAGAGTCTCAAAAAATAAATCGCAATTCAAAATCCAATTCCGAAGATCCAGACTCCACTTGTTGCTCATCTTACCCTTCGTGCGGAGATGCCGCTGCTTGGTTCGTGTGCGAAGTAAGAGTTTCGGAGCTCACGACCGGTGCAGTTTTCGACTTCCCGTGCTACCGGTGGCTCTCGGTCACCGAAAATGACGCCAAGGTCGAGCATGAGATCAGCTTGGAAACGGCCACCACTTTTTGGCAGGTTTGTATGCATTTATTTTGATACGTGACTTTTTGTCACGTATCAAAATATAACACAACAGCGTATAACAGCACAAGTAGTTAGTTACATGTAGTAACTAACTACTTGTGCTGTTATTCTATAAATTTACTCTGCAAGACATTCAACCTTATCTAAAATCTGTTATTTCATTGTTAATTTTTCGACCTGGAAATTAGTGCTCCATCGTATCGTTAGCTGTATTCTTTCAGGACGTCGAGCACTTCTTTCCTCAATACGCCAACGAGAACGTAGTGTGGACCTCCTTGTGCTCAATGTCGCACAGCGTCAGGTTCTATCGTCTGCAGCGTCTTACCATCTGCCTCATCGTGTGCCTCGGCCTAGGGACAGCAAGTCTTTCAACCGTCAAGGTAATTACTGCGTGATTTTCAGATTCCATTACTTCAATTTTTAGTCCCGAATGTTTTTGGTAAGTAAACTAATAGGAAGGCATTTCATTTACAAGTATCAGCAAGTTGCTATTTGTTTACTTGCGAAATACCCTAACGATATATTTATTGTGTTGTTAATTATTTCTATAGGATCCACTATGTTGGAGTCTCCGAAACGCACCAATTATGTTATTATAAGCACTGACTTGTCTGACTTATAAGCACTGACTTGTTTCAACTTGTTTATCTTCGTTTCTAATATTTTACAGCGCATCAACACCAGCCACACTATGATGACACCAGACCTGCACATCGAGCCTTTGTTGTACGCGTTCATGCTATCGCCGCTACTGATGCCCGTTCAGTGGCTGCTAGAGATACTCTTCAAAGCCAGCAACAGGCTGGTCAGTTGGGTTTACCCATCTACCATGCCTGTTTTTTTTTTAGTAATTTTTCAAATGAAATTCATAAATGGGAATAATTTTTGTTAATAAAATTGAAGTTATATTGTTCCCAGATACTGATCGCTATTTAATCGTTATGACTTCGCGCCTTTACTTTCTTATGTTTGCCAAGTTCAAGTTTTTCTCGAAATTTAGCTTCAATTAAAAATTGGGAACCTAAGCCGACATTACTTTTTCTAACACTTTTCTGTCATTTCAGGAAGAGAAAGAAGCAAGTTTTCTATCTGCAAGAAAAACAATCGACGCTCTTACTCCTCCGTCTGGGAAAATGCCCAGGTGTACACAGTCTACTCAGCTTTCAGCTTCATCTTCCACGTTAGAAAATGGCTCTCGAAGTCAAAGCTCGAAATCTGTTTCTTCACTCCTTGACGTACTGGATTCTAATTCCCAGGAATGGAAGAATATGCTAAAATGGGCGGATAATTTCACGGTAGAGACCGAACACGAGGATGATGTGCTATTCCAAAATTTATTAAGAAATAGAAAAATACCTAATAATTCATCCATCTCCTTGCACGGTTCCACGCAAAAAGTCTCTGCTAGAGAAGAGGATAAGGTTGATTTTACAGACCACATCACAGATGGTAAAACAAATGTTTCTCAAGAAAATATTCACGTCGTTGATGAAAACACTTGCGCCGGTGGAGACACTCCAGTTCAAAATCCTTCTCCGGCTGCTGCTGATGATGTTCATACACCTGCAGGAATAGACCACGACGATACCGACGTCACAAGTTTATTGGAAGAGATGAGCAGTTCTGTATGGCGCAGGTCTTTGCAAATTTTGAGTTGGACCGTTTGCATCCTATGTGTTGGTGAGTAATAATGGCTGAGGGAGTTCGTACTGAGTTGAGGAGACAGTGTTATACAACTGCTCTCTTAATCAATAAATAAATTTGTGGCAAGAATAAAATTTATTGATTTTTTTCCTATGATTTTAGACCTTGTCCATGATCCTTAGCGCTAAAGCAATATTCGCGTAAAATTATTGTCTTGCCGTATCTTAATACAATAATTGTTTTTCGTGAGCGCACACATAGACAAAACGTACGTTGTGGTTCTTTTCTCCCCGTTGGTAATGTTTTTGGTTTTGAGGATCATCTTACTTTCTGAATGGCCGCGGCAGCATACTGTTCAAATAATAGCCTTCAAATTTTAAAAGGTTTACTGTAGGATAATAAAGAATGATTAGTTCGATAACTTTGTTGGTTCGTGCAGCTGCTTGTGGTGTTACATTGCTGATCAAAGGAGCTGATATGCCAGTGGACTACTCTACGTTGTGGCTCCAGATCATCTACGCTACGCTCTGCACGTCTGTCATCGTCATCCAGCCTCTGATCGTCGTCATGTACACCATTTCGCGAGTAAGCCGCGCAATACATCTCATTCATCCGGTCCATTCAGAATTTATATAAACCTTCAGTATTATTATATTTTTTGCTATTTAAGATATTCAGGCTTTATTGCATCGAAATCTTAGTGTTGGAAAGTGAGGCTGAAATATATACCTATATTTTTTTGCATTTTTAAATTTTTTATCTTCGTTTTTTTATTCAGACCGTGATTATAGTATTTATCGATGTATTTGTCATGTTCGTGCTCAAACATTCGTTATTCATAAAAAAGTTCAGAAAAATTGAATAAAATTCATGACTTATAATTTACAGTAGACACATAAGCCAATAGACAGTTCTTGGTATAGTCTTAGATCATTAGCAATTCCATATTGCAAGAAAATTTATTCTAATTTCAAAGTAGAATTCAAACTGCTTTGATATATCGGGACTTTCAATCGGACCATTCCGTACGTTTCTGAAGTGATTATCATTTATCCTTAGAAAATATCCATCTGTTCACCGTTTTTGCATCCATCAGGTGATGGTTTACAGATGGTGCCAAGGCTGTAGAGGCTCTATCTCTTTCTTCATGACTTTCTCGTTGGAGCAGTCGATATTGATCTGGCGTCACTACAGAACAGCGTTTTTGCGGAACCAAAGCACTGAGTCATGCGGACGATGTTCGAATTGTCTTCAACGAAATCTCGAAGAAGCTCGTGGCCGCAAATCTACTACTGAAAATGGCCACTCTGGCAGAGCATCCACGAGTGAATATGAAGTTCCAGACGCGCATGATGGGAGCTCGAATGATGACTCAGAAGAAAGTAATTACATGCTCACAATTAACAATAACCCTAACAGAACAATAATAATGCTGATTATTGAGGAAACCTATTTCTGTTTCTGAATTTTTCAGTTCCAAATGAAAAATGCCCTGCTAAGGACATATATTACTCGTTTATAACCAATTGTTTCTAGATTAGATCATCCGTATAGCCATTTTGTTTCGTGCATTCTTCTGTGATAATTTAACAAGTTTTTAACAACTTCTATAACTAGCCCTCACACCACTTCAGTTGACTTATTCTCATTTGCGTCAGGTTTTCCTAACAAATTTATCAAGGTTGTTTTATAAGCGTTATAGTATATACGATTATAATAGGATATTTTTTCAGAATTGCGCCTGTTGTCTCGAGCCCGTGAGCTTCGCTTTGCTCGGCCGCCACCTGAGACTGTGCTGCTCAAGTGTCGCCAGCGGCGGCTGAAACGACAGACGATCGTCAACTTCCTGTCTGCCACGATACGCTACTTGTCTTTCCTTTGCCTGCTTATAGTTATCATGAACCATAACTTCGTGAAGGAGAAAAACCAAGTAAATTCTGCGTTGAAGAAATCCGTACTCAACGGGACGTGTCTTGTTGAAATAGATGAATATTATAAGAAATTCACGGATATACGAAATAAGGATGACTGGTGGACTTGGGCCGAATCAGAGCTAATGGCTTTGAATTTCAACAAAGATGAAGATTTTTCCACCGAACATTTGTTTTGCGACACGAATGGTATTATCATAGGGAATCCAAGGATGCGTCTCTACTCCGTTGCTGCGACTGAATGTTCAGCTTCGAATTATATGATGACTGCTAACGAATCAATAATATCCAAGCTTGGCATTGTCGATTGTTTTCTAGAGTATCGAGATCCAGTTGACCATCTTTCAAATTTCCTGGGTGTTACCACCGATAAAAAGTACGAATGGGACGCTCATTATCTCGCTGTGCTCCATGGCCAGTTTTCTCATTACAGTTACACCAAGCACGAACATTTCCTACCTCAGAACGAGTTTGGAGCTTTTGTATTCCTGCTAACATTGCGTGCATTCGGTTGGCTTGCAACAGAGTCCTCACGTGCTATTGTTACAGAATTCACCATCTACCATCCAGCTTATGACCTTTACTCAACAATCAATTACGTAGCTGAATTTCCATCATCTTCGGGCGCCGCTGTTGAAATTTCGGTTGCGTCTACAAATATCCAGCGGTATCAAACACCCGGAGCGTATCCCACAATATTTGCGGAGTGCCTCTTGCTTCCAATTGCTATGTTCCTGTTGATCAAAAGTGTTCTGTACCTTTACAACTGTAGATTCAAAGTGTGGAAATCTTTCTGGGGATTTTTGGACCTTCTGTTAACTTTTCTGTTGTGGGACTACATCGTCTGCCTCATGCTTCGAGTTCAGATCGCGGAAGATCTTATGTGGCAACTTAAAGTTTCTTACTTCCAGAAGTTCGTTAACTTGAAAGGGGTAATGACATGGGATTCGACTATCACTTCTATTCTTGGTTTTGTAATTTTCGTCCACATAATACGGTGCTTGTGGCTTTTCAGTTTCTTTACAAGGTTTAGACGTCTAGGTCTAATATTTGCAGCCGCCATTCCTGATGTTTTATATATAACTCTTGTACTTCTCATTTTAATATTTTCATTCGTAAACATGTGCTTTATATGGCTAAATCCAATATCGTCGGATTTCTACTCTGCCAAGCAGTCTTTTTTTACTGTGTTTTCATTATCCGCGCGAATTAACGCCGCTGATGTATCTGTCGACGATTATCCTTCTGGCTCTGTCCTTTTCAGCAATATCTATAAATCTGCTATTGCAATATTAATCGTAATGTTTTCAAGAGCTTACTACTTCTCCGCATTTTCTAATGCAGTCAAAACTTTTGCCTATCAAAGGAAACCTGTTGAAATATCTTTGAAAGATGTTTTCCATTTCATTGTCACGGAACTTCAACGTGTTATTCCTTTTGTTAAGAAGAAAGAGCAGGAGCCCTTCAAAATCGCCAATGAATCCATCCCACCAACATTGTATATTTCAGAATTGGATGGCCAGTTAGACAGAGTTTTGGACACGATGGATTCAATTTGCAGTGAAAGAGGCATAAATCTTGACCAGTCGGACAGCGTCGATGATGCATCTTCCTCGTTTGATTCTTACAGTTACAGAGAAGGCATCAGAGAGAACTTCACTCGAAATTCCTTCTACTCGAGTGGGAGGAAAACGTACAGTGATAGCGAAACGTTCCCCATGATACATGTGGACGGCATGACTGACGTACCAAGCTGCCGCACGGAGACCCGTGCTGCCAGAAAACTCGCCGCGGGTATTCGAATCTTGACCTCGTCAGAAGCAGTGCATGCCGACAGCTTCACGTTGCCGCGTCAAGTCGTTTGTGATCGAGATTCTGAACACCTGAAGAAGTTTTTACTTGATGTCCGCTCGTTGTCGGTTGGTAATTTGACCGGCACTCCGTTTAGCAAGTACGGGAAACATGTGCACAAAATAAAGTCAAATGAGAAGAAAGCGATCTCTTCCATCTCTAGCGTTTATGAAGAAAGTTGTCGCCACAGTAGCAGCTCCTCGACTGAATGTCGTATTTGCAGAAACTTGAAGAAAACGGAAACTTTGGGCCTGGACGGGACTTCGGATGTGGAAAACGAAATGGACTTTTTAGGCATCAACGAATAGGTGGGAATGAAGTAACTTCATGTTTTTAATCTCGTGTGATGCAATATAAATTGGGTGCAGATTACAAATTTGCAAGACGTTTTAAGGATTAAAGTTTAGCTACGGCTTATTATTGACTTTTCAATACGAAATGTCCACAATAAATGATTAGTTACCGTTGTTTATCAGCTATTTTAGTAATGTTCAATTCAGCATCGCCTAGTGTGTACAATGTTTGTTTTGTGAGGAAGTACAAATCAATTCCGTGAACCTAATGTTCGCAATTTTTTTTGCTTGCAACAGGCTCGAGGAGTTTGATTTAGATAGAAATGATTACAACTCTTGTATTGTTGAAGCATCGAATCAGAGTAATCAAGTGATATGATGTACACTTGTAAATATTAGCTCCCATGTTCTTCAATGATACAGGTAAGTTGGCTTCAAACACACCTGCTTTTGCTCCTCTTAGCGCTTGTTCGTTGTCTGTTACCGTATTACCCTTGTTGACTCTGGACGTTACAATATATTGCATATATTATTGTTAGAAAATGTATTCCTACTTCTCTTCATCATTTTGGTCGTAATTTTGCTTGTGCTGGTTCCATCTTTTCATTTAGCGTTTCCAAAAAAATTGATCTTTATAGTTTCGATAGCAGTGACGCGTTTCGCAAAACTGCTGAATATAAATTTGTCGCGAAATAATTAGCTATGTTCTCACTACTACAAAGTTACTTTTATGTATAAATGGTTCGCATTTAACTAATCACCTGTTCAGATATGCTTTTAGCCTACAGGAGCAGATTGCAGTAAGGCTTTGAAATATAGCGTGGATTCGTACGTCGATTCATATAGGTAAACTCCGTTATTGGTTGTTTTCCTCGTTTGATTTCAGCTTGTTGTTACAGTTTGCTTATCAAAGGTTTAATGAAGTTTTTGCATTTCAAATGAGATCACCATTGGTGAGTGAGGGGAAAAAATCACCAATAGAATTCTTTCCTGGTGTTGCTTCAACAGCAAATGCTGAATAATTTTCGACTCTAACTTCTTTGTCGAATTGCAAAAATTCAAGCCTAATGCAGATGCCAGTTGATTCATTGGGACTACACTGTGAGAAGACGGTCAGTAATGTAAGTTTTTACATCTCTTTCAAGTGTTGATGCCCTCGCTTCACCATGGAGCTCTCAGTTGTTGGTTGTTGTTACACATTTAATCCCCTGGAGGTCCATTCTTCCAGTCACCCCTGTTGCTGCTCACCCAATTGCTGCCGGTGCTCATTATTCGTCACTGAATCCGCTTTTCAGACAAAACTTATTTCCACTTGGCTATGCTGAGTGCTGCAGTGCCGGTTACAATATAGTTGTTTTTGTGCCGGTACATGTGAATTTTTTTACGTTTCCCTAGGATTAAAAGGCTGAACACCTGTGTGGCTATATATATTTTTAAAGTTTTTCCTGGCATTTTTGATGAATGTTTTTTTTTAATTATATGTATTTAGTAGGAAAAACAAGGCATGTAGTATTTAGTCTCGTTTCTGTTCCTTTACATCGCGCTTCTTTCAAATAACTCGGTTGGCATTGATTTCGATAAGGTATGAACAACTTCGATTACCTAGTGTTAGGAGATCTCGCTCCCTTCGCGGCAGCGAGTCCATTCCTCTGTGCCTTCTAGAGACTGAACTAATTTAAGAGAATGTAAAAATTGTATGACCATTCCTCTTTCGAAAATCTGTCTTGCATTTACCAAAGAGTTGCAAATTTCATATGTATTTATTTACTAACTCATGAGGAATGTAGGACATGAGTTTAGAGTCACACGTTAACCAATTCATAACCAACTTTGCGCCGTAATGTTACCCTGTCGATAAAAGTTAATCAGTGATTGAGAAGAAATGTAGAAGTTATGATTTGCTGTGCCGTGGTCTTGAAATAAACTCCAGTTTGCTAAATACAATGTCACCGGAAATAATTTCACTGTAATGTAGTACGTTTGCAGTTTGTCATGCATGCTCCTAGAATCTTGTGCAGTTTGTTTTGCCCTTACGATTGAATTGAATGGTTGTCAATTATGTGTTTAGGCTAAAATTATTCTAACACTTAGGATAAGGTCCTTCGATGTACGGTAACAATTTAATAAATGGTCGAAAGCAAGGTTGACTAAGACTTTATTTCCACCATTTACTTTCAATGATAGGTTATAATTTGCTGGGTTGTATTGCTAATTCCTGATCATGGGTTATTTTTCTTAATTAGCACACCTACTGATTATATAAGTAATGTTGTCTTCACCTTAAAATATATTAATGCGAATATTTCGATATGATTCGTAGTTTGAGACCGCTATAACTATGTTAGCTATTTGCAACACGAATGTTGCAACCTTAGGTCTTCACTAACAACCAAAGAAATATTCAGTTCTGTGAATGGAAATGAACAAATATACAGCCTAATGTAGTAAGGGCAGTAAGATAGAAAAATAGTCCTAAAGGTGATCTAACAACTATCAGTTATACATTAATATGCTAATAAACACGACTCCATTATAGTTACACATAGCCTATCGGATTCAACGAGTTTCAGAACATGAAGCGTAAACAAATGAAAAGTCTAACAAGCTATATTCATGTGAACCAAATAGCAAATTTTCGATTTACAGCTATTGAACACCTATTCAAGGTGAATTGAGTTCCAAGCAAAAACTGTAATTGATGACAAAAAAACTGCACACCCATCCAATGCTATTTCCTTATATACAGAAACACAAATTTCCAATTTATTTATACAAAACCATAACGTATAAACATAAATGAGCAGTTCAATAATTTTCTAAAAAAAATTTGGTTGAATGTGATAGCGAGAAACTAAATAAAAAATATCAACGAGATTAGGCGCACTTAAAAGCGAACCTCGCGCAAATAAAATATTGCACCAAAATGTAACAAGGCCAAGCATGTTGTTAATTAGAAAATCCAGTGAAACAAGCATTGGCCACTTAAGTATTGTTGCAGCTGATCGCTTACAATGAAAATAGGGAAAGCTCTCTAAGGCACTACTAGGGACCTAGTAATTGAGAATAGACTATCACAACATGATTAATACAAGGTTCCACCGAAAAATTATTCGTAGATTTGTTGGTAATCAAACTTTTCATTATAAAATGAAAGTAAAGATCAAGTTACGTAATAATTCGTACCAAAAGAAAGTAAAAATAATTGATGGGCTTTTTCATGAGCGCTAAGAACTTGAATGACTTTAATTTAGTAGAAGAACAATCAAACATAAAAAGCTACGATTTTACTCAAAAAAGTCATTTGCAAGCAATGAATTTACCCAAATCCTAAAGCAATGAATTCACCTAAAAATGATTGGCGCAAGTCGTGACAGCAACTTAGCTACCATGACGATGAAGGCTTGACTAGGTGTGCTGCGTGGATGATTTGTATCATAAAATGAAAATCGCTTCCGTACATCCTTACGGCATAGCGCCGAAGATGAAATCCCTTCCACACATCTTCGAGCAATTGCGCGTAAAATGAAAATCCTTTACATGCATCCTTACGAAATAGCGCATCAGATGAAAATTACTTCGATACATGCCCACGACATAGCGCCTACGTTGAAATCGACTCCTATGAAAGTGCATACAATTAAATTCCCTTCCTTATTCCATTCATCCCTAGGACATAGCGTTCGCGTAAACTCTTGATGATTGACATCATCTTCTTAGTGCTACGGGCGCGTGAGCACTACGTATCAAAGGACAGTAGCTATACGTTTAGCTTCACTAAAAAAGCGGAAGGAAAAGAAGGACAGATGAGGACAGACTGGTGTAAGGGACGGCACGGCAATTCATACTAAAGAACAGCTCACTACTTGGCACAAGTCATAAGTGGAGACGGCAGCGACTAAACTCTTGGCTCGGAACACGGGATACAAACTCATTTGGACTCTGTCGGAACGGCTGCACCAATAAAAATACGAACTGCATTGCTAAAAGTTATACATCAGCTGGGCCATACTTTCAAAACTCGCTAAGTGAACGTAAGTACTTACTCTCTATTTTCTTGTCTATGATTGGTGGATTTTGAAAGGCCGTCAATGATTGGCTGATGAACTTACGATCTCTTAACTTTTTTTGAAAGTATAGGCCCAGTATAGTAGAAAACATCAGTCGCAAGAGGCTCGAAAATATTCACGCATCTACTCATATCTTAGAAAAATTAGATAATTTAGATTAATTCCGTTCATTACAAAAAAAATCGTACATAATCACCATTTAAAATGGATCTGTAAAACAAAACATGAAGCAAGTTGAGCCTTTTCATTGCTTAGAAATTCAAGTTGAAGTTCAATGGAAACATTCGCTCCTTGACCGAGAGAATGATAATTCGGTTGCATCGTTAACTAAAAACGCAGTAAACAAGTCTTGAGATCACAACATTTCTTATAATGGGTAGGCAGATTCAACAAGCAATCAAGCATTGATACAAAACCGTACTATTTAGGAGGGAATTGCTAAATTTTAATAGAAAAAATTACGATTATTCCGTGACCACTGCAAGGGTTGCTCATAAGAGAACTACTAACTTTGTTCCTCCTGCGGCATGATTTCGAGTAAAACCGAAGGTTGACGTACACTCTTGCATTTTACAATATGAATTACGCAGCCATTTCTTGCTCCAACATAGCGTCGAGCTCGTCAGTGAGGTTGGCGAGCATGTTGCCGATATCGTTCAGAACATCCACATTGCCTTCTTCCGTCCTGCTCATGAAAAAAATTGTGATTGAATGAATAGACAAAAAAATCTTAACAGATAATAGCTATGGATGCGTAAATGTCTTTTGGGTTAAGAGATGAACACTAATTTTGCAACGTGAACATTAAATGTATTAACGCACATAAGACCATGAATCGTAAATCATCAGGCATAATTTCATAGAGTCGATAGAAAATTTTCAATCAACTGACATGTCAAGGCACCAGGAATTATAAACACTTCGGGATACCAAGAACCAGGAAAAGCCTACAGACTGGCAAATATATAGTCGAATAACAAAAAAAAAGTATTGATCATAAACTTGGTGCCTCACGAATTTCGAAGAAAAATCATGAATGCTAATGCACTGAATTTAATCATGTCAATTCAGAAACGAAAACTAGATGCGTTTTTGAGAAAACACTCATGTAAAAGTTAGGCATGAATCTGAGATGGATATATTAGATGAAAATGGGACCACTCGTCATGTACTACTATGACCACAGCAGAACTACAATAAGTAAGCAGCTTAACGGCAAATTTTATAATCACTAACGTTTTAACAGCAGAACGAGCAGGGCTATTTTTGTGCATAGATGCCCTGTGTGGGTTGCCAACCCTTCTGAGGGTGGAGGGCGAGGGCACAGGAGATGCCAAACCAGGGAGCAGATGTGGCGTAATGACGTGATGCCCAGGAACGCCAAGGGGAGGGGCAGCGTTGTAGCGCTGTTTGATGGTGCCAGCGTTGTCGTTGGCGAAGGGTATGCTGTCCGATGAATCAGTACTCGACGTTGACTGCAACAAAATTACGAGTTGTGAAACTAATATCGAAATAATGTATTGGAAACCCCTAATTTATTCAATGCGAACTATTCCAACAGGACAGCTAAAGAAGTAATGATTGGTGTGGAATAATATCCAATAATTTATTAGGGCGGAATGAATATCATGCACGTTGCGCGAAATAAAACGAGATTATCATCAACGCATGATGACATCTAAACGACGCTGTATAAATTGCGTTTGTGAATAGTGAACAATAAGAACACATGGTAACAAAGAGGCCTGCAAACAAAACGCACTCCACATTTAAAAATATCTACGATATTATCTAAAATTGCAGACAAACCTTCATACTGCAGTTAGACACAGTCGAATCATTCCGTCGCGGTCTTGATACAGCGTTATCTTCGTGTTCCGTTGACGTAGCGGAACCGGACGCGTGCGTTGAAGAGTTATTACTAAGTTCTCTAGAAAGAGGAGCTGGAGCGGAAGAATCAACACCAGATGGCGGGGCGTCATCCGCTGGTTCCTCAGGCGTGACCATCATTTGGTCCTGGGACCTGCGGTGACTATGATGGTGGTGGATGAATTGATGGTTGCCCACATCGTGCGGCGCTGGAGGAGGTGGAGGAAGGTCGGATGATATGTCAGGCTGAAGGTTATTCTTGACGCCCATGTAACCATAGTTAAAACTGCGCCTCAAGAATCCGTCTCGCGAATTTAAAACATTACTGTTGAGTGGAGGACCCATTTTGCTGCAGCCTGATGCATCGATGTTAGAATTCTGTTGACTAGAAACTCCTTTGGCGAAGGTGCTTTGCACGGAGTCTTGTTTGTTTGCCTCGCTAACAGAATTGGATCGCCTGGGAGGCGGAGGTGGGAGCTTTTTAGGAGTACCTTGAGGAGTATTATTAGTGCTGTGCGCATGCATAATATTATATACATTATTAACCTTATCGAGATTGTTCAGATTAATACCAGGTTTAAGAGGATCTGATTTGACTTGCTGGTTACCATCTTCCATTGCACAATAATGGCTAGAATCGCTTTCGTATGACATTTCCTGGTGAACGTCCACTCTAGTTTTTGCAGTGACTTTGGCGACTGGCCGAACTTTATTGTTGGAGCATCTTTGTCTAGGTAATGTGCCACCACCTCCTTCGTACATGACCATCTCATTAGTGGGGGTAATATCCCCATCATCGAGAGACCGCGGAGGAAAAGAGCTCGTCATGGGAGGTAAATTTGGTCTTGAAGGCAGCGATGAAAATTGATCGCAAGAATTCGGAAGCTGCGTAAACTGTTGGTGATATTGACTTAGTCGATTGTTTTCAGGATGAAACGTCGAGTAAATAGGTTCTTCAAAAATACCGTCCTTACTTCTCCTAACTTGAGGATTGACTTGCACAGCCACCACATCCGGACGGTACTGGACGGAAGGAGGTCGGGTGCTGCCACTGCCGGGTGCCAACTGAGTTGCATGAAGAGACTGTTGGCGGGGAAGTTGCCGATGAAGAGGCGATGCGTTTATTGTGTCGTGATGCTGCTGCGTAATGGCGCTGGTCGCACCTACGCTGTACGAGCGATACACACATGGGCTGAACTGGGCGCCACTAGAGTTGTAGTTTGTAGCACTGCTAGTGCTGGCACCGCTACCAGAGCGCTGGTGGTTGTAGGGTTCGGCTGGGCCTCGCGCTGAGTAGCTAGCTTGGCCAGAAAAAGTCCTCATGTCACCGATTGGAGAGTAGCAGTTATCCGCGCCTCCTTCGGCTCTGTTGATCAAGACAATCTCTTGTGGCGGTAGCTGTTGTAGTGGAGACTGATTACTTGAAAACTTCTTGCCACTCTTGATATCGTTGATTCTCTTGATGGCCAACATGACCTGCGAAACGGTAAACGTTAGAAATATGATGCGAAACGTCTTCTTTTTTTACTGAAAATACTCAATAGTTGCAAATCGCTTTGAAACAAACAAATATTACTGAAATAATACGATTTTTAACCAAATTATGCATTTTTGGACACGACTTGATAACATTCCATCATAACTTTATAACATTATTATTTTCGCAAGACTGCTGTATAAACAAGCACTTGTTTTCCATACGGACTATTCCGCTAAAGCTGGATTTCAGATTAGTTTACCTTCTTCTGGTGGCCAAGCCTGGTTATTCCCATCTCCTCAAGATCCTCCCACATGACCTGCAGCATCTGCACGGGCGTTCGATATCCCTGGCGCTGCAACGTAGCGTTGTATTCGGACAACTTCAACACCGCCAGCCACTCCTCCAGCGTCGCCTACAAGATTCATACACAAAATAAATACTCACACTTCACCTACAACATAGAAAACATAAAAAATTATAGTTTAACTAAATCAGGAACTATTTTTTTTGCTAATACTATTTTGCATGGGCAGCGAAAAAAAGTCAAATGACACAGATCACAAATTTACATCACTATCTCGGCATTCATTTCTCTAAAAAAACATTACCGGAATGTAGTCGGGAAGTCCGTCTCTGATGTTGAGTTTGCTGATCTCGGCTTTGAGTTTCTTGCGGTGTGCAGGCTTGGTGATGCCGATGGCGTTGAGGTCTTCAGGTGTGACACGCGAGATGGTCGGTAAATCATAGCCTGCTATGATGAACTTATCAGTGTGTTCCTCTAGGTGCAGCTCCGACAACCAAGCTCGCAGGACCTCTGAGTCCTGAGAAGAGCGAAGTTAAAAAGGTGAACTACTTCGATATTTGAACACAAACCATTAAAATGAGTTAGGGTCAAAAGTTAAAATCAAACATCATTAAAAATGCCTATATCATTTTAAAATAAACTCATAAAATTTTTGTAGCATACTGGCATTCCCTCAGGGGCGAGATAGAATATTTTTGGACTTACCCTAACTCCATTGTTGAGGAGATCATTGACGTTCAGTACAGGAGAATCAATGGACCCGATGCTGCTGCTGGACGAGTGGCAGCTGCGGCGAAGGCAGTTGCCGTTGCCGCTGCCGCTGTCATAACTCTGCCCGCTAAGTCTGAGGAGCCAACATGTACATTAGTGAGGTTCATTCTAGATGTACAATGTACACCTATACTCAAGTCTAACGCGATTAATCCAATCGAATCGAATTTATTCCAATAATTACTTACATCGACTGGAAGATTAAAAAGAATTTCGGTCATATAATATATTTGATGATGTACAAAACACAACACTCATATATTTGCTCAAATTTAAAAGTTAGAGACAGACAGATATATGACAAAAAAAAGTTTTTTTTTTTCTACACGACGAGTTATTACCCAAACGAGGATAGAAACATCGAACAAAAAAAAAATAGCTGGCATGTTAAAGCTTTAACGCGAACAATCGCGTTAAATTTCGGGTACAACACTTTTTGATCGTTACAACAGTCAGCGAAAAATTCAAAGAAATCGACTTATTAATTGATTTAACCTCGAGTTGTCTGAACTGCTTCCAGGATATACCTCCCAAATCCTATTGTTAACATTAATGCAATGTCCACAGCGACACGGAAAATCAGCCTAATGACGAGTATATAGTCAAAAGATGAAAAGTGGTTACACACCTGTGTTGTTGATGCGGATGATGATGGTGGTGGTGAGTAGAAGTGGAGGCCCGTCCTGAGTCCAGTGACGTGGTGGAATTGCGACAGCAGCTAGTGGAAGCCGTTGATCCAGTGCTGGAAGATCCAGAACCAGATCCTGGGCTGCTGGAACGCGCAGGCGACTGTACGTCGATGCCTTGATCTTCAACGGAGATCTGTTGATGTGCGTGAGAACCAGAATGCTGGTGCTGGTGATGATGGCTGTTTTGATGGTGAGGTGAATTGGGACCTTGCGACTTGCACAGCAAATGGGCAAACTGATGGAGAGAAATACCGGTACCTTAACGTTCATTGATGTACTAATGTAGTGTAATGAAATGAAGCATTAGATTTGTTCAAGTCTGACACTGAGAGCAAAATTTAGAAACGGGGGAAGGGATGGTCATTCGGAGGAGAATCTCGGAAAAAAATCATTACGAAGTATCACATCCAATGCCGAAGATTCAAAGTGCCACATACCGGTTACTGTAAATAGTCATATTTTATTTCATCTTGTGTGCAAGATATCCTATAAAGGTTTAATTTACCCACATTATAATCCAAATTTGTACAAAACAAATCAAAACAAATAACGCTACACAATCGAACAAAGTTGGAAAAAAAGCAGTATTAAGTTATGATAACGCTCGCGCTTGAAATGTCTCTTCGAAGAGCAGGAGTGAAACAATATTAACGCAAGTATTAAAATGGCTGCATATTAATCAAAATTGCAACCGTAACCGTATTAACGTACTCGAAAAACTGGCGGCTGGAAAATCAGGAGTGTGCTTTTGTTGAAGCACGTGTTAAATAGCTGCTCAAAGAGGATAATTTTAGTCATGGAAACTAAGGGGACAAGAGAGCTACCTGAGGAGCGGCGGGGCTCTGACCACCGTTGGATGGCGGCACCGGGAACGTGAACTGCCCGGCGTTCTGCTGTTGCATGCTGGACATGTAATGAGCAGGAGACGCAGCGCTGCAGCTCCCAGTGTTCGGTCCCAGCCTGGCACTGGTGCTGCGGCCTTCGATGCTACTTGTGCCTGCACAGTCAAATATTAGGGAAAATTTATTGATAACTGAAAAATTCAAAAAATAGTCATACATTGAATGTAATCATATTTCTTACGCATATATACTCAAGCTTAAAATCACGGGCGGAAGAAAATGATGAAAATTCTTAATTCATTTATATTGTGATGATAATGAAAGCAATCCTGTAAAGAAACCTATGTCACTTGAGAGCTGAATAAATAACATATTATAAAATAACCAGCACTTTCACTAAACACAAGCTAAGTGAAAAATAAATGAGCTCCTGCAACATAAATGGGTGGCATGAAAGTTATTAAAGATTATGCCTAGTGTCCAACATAATATAAAAATATACCCGCTTTATTGAACTGTAGTAAAGAGCAAAAATTTCTATCTACAGCTACTACAACCAATGCGCATATGAACTAAACTCCGTCCATGATTAGAGTTAGAAGATTATATTGGAGATTAGAAGCCATATAATTTAATGTCATTTATGAACTGAGATAAAAAAATTGAATTGCGCCACAGCCATCACTTCACATCAGCAGGACTGTTGAATTACATGAGCGCCATGTCAAACTGGATGATTTTATCTGAAAGCAATTGCACGCGCGGTGCCATCATGACACGCTTCTCCACCTTCAAATCTAGTACCTTGTTAAGTTAAATCACGGTGGGGAAATACTTTAAACACTTTTTTATGATCGTATGAAGCTGTAAAACTACGAAATCATATTATTTAGTGATGATATATTAGTGAGCAGACAAGTACTGTTTCCATGCCCTTAATTAACACCCTCTTCAGACTCAAAACAACGTAGGCAAATGAAATTTAAATGCAAATCTACAATTAACACTTGAACATAGCGATTGTGTTGACTTCAAGAGATCCATAAATCAACAGAAAACCAGCGAGAACAATTTGAAAGAAGTAAGAACACAGGGTCATTACACATATAGTCGTCTCTTCTTTAGTAGTGTTTAGTTCTAGTCTCAGTATACACAAAAACCAGAGCAATGTTGTTCAAGACACTGGCTATCAAATGAGCTAAAACATGGAGTCCTCCTGATTACACATGGCGGTAAATTTAATGCGCTAGTTAGCCGGCATCTAACACCAGGAGACGGCACATGCTCAATGAGGCTTAAAACCACAACAGCGATAAAATACTCTCAACAGCCGCGATGACCAACGGCAGCTCAGCACAAACATGTGAAAGTAAAATCTTCAGATACAATGAAAATCTCTGACATCATAGTGGCAGCAGTATTATTGAAAACTTTCCATAATTACTTAATTTTACTAATTACTTGTTCTTCACTGCGATAACAAAACTAAAAAAAAAACAATAAAGGCACCGCAGTTTTAAATTAGGCCTTGGATACATGCCCATACTTACAATTTGGTAATACCTAAAATAAGACAACATAATTGCTACACTGCACGCACAAAACTTTAGTTCGTCCTCTAATGATTGACACATGATGCAAGTGATCGATAGACGACGTCGGAATATGGGCATCAAAAATGCAAATTTAGACGCTAGCTTGACGTGCCATTCTCAGCATCAAATACCAGAATAAGAAGGTATATATCAGAATGCAAATATCACCATTGAAACAGGTTCATGCATACACAATGGTGGCATCAAAGTAATTTCAGCTATATCGCTTCAAGGAAAACATTTGGGCATTCCGGACTGCATGCGATGCAGCAAGTCCTGCTTTGGATCTTGAGGGAGAACAAATAAGCCAGCTATGTAAGGAGAATTTGACGTTGAAGATTCCAGACGCCTCAAGACAAAGCTTGCAAATAGGAGCCTGCATCGTAATAAACCAGCAGCGACGACATAAGCATGCGGCAAGCAGAGGGCAATGAACACGAGCCCTAAAAGCATGAGCTATGTAAAATTTATCTTAGCAAAGAGACTCGTGCTAGAAAAATCTGGAAATGTTGAAACTTATACTGGGTTCAGAATAGGACAATGCTGATACCGAGAGCGACATAGGGCTAAAAAATAATCCTGAGGTAAGCGTAGGGCAACCACGACGAGCTACGTATCTTAATCCCACAGCACATTATGCTCTTTTTACGCTTACGCATGCCTTCACATTACGTTCTTCTGTGAGTACTGAAAAACGTTCTTATGTAATAGGAAATTCAACTAAAATTCATACCCACCCCAAAGAACAGAAATTTCTCAACAAAATTTAGTTATTCGAACAATGATGGCCGAAACATTGCTGCGTACAATTCTGTGCGGGTAGCTAGTATATTGAATCATGAGCCAAAGTTTGTTGTTCATGTGAAGCTTGCAACAGAAATTTTTTTCACAGGAATAAAAAGAGGAAGTTGAGAGAAGAAAAATGACAGCGTTCGGAGCCAAGTGGTCAATGATTATAACATGTTGACACTAAAGGATTGATACATAAATAATTTAATTAAATGACTTTCATGTACAAAGCTTCGAAATTGACACAAGGTGCACATTCGGTGCAACACAAACGTGCCATTTGAAATTCTTGGATAATATCACTGAATGAATGAAACTTACACCTTCTGAAAAAAAACATGACCCAGACTACTTCACTTTCGTTTTGATACCTCATGTACAGAGAAACACGATGACAATTTACTTTGTCTTTGAAACATGCCGAAAACACAAATAATTTTGCAGCACACAGCAATTAGCACGTCCAACATACACGAAAATGGCGCGTGGGCGCAATTGAATAATATTTTATCAACAGGCTCGATTATTGTTTGAACTTGAAATTTCAAAAGAACGATTGCAATTCCAATCTGATTGCAACAATTCCAACTTACGCCACAAATGTCACGCGTTTTGTGCTCTTGGGTGCAGAAAATTATTAGAAAAGTTTTCGTGAGAATGGGACTGCGTGTCGTACTGGAACGTTAAACAGCTAAAAAATAAAATTGTAATAATAATAAAACGCTAAAAATATTATGAATAGGCATTCAGTAACAAATATTAAATTTTGCGCATGATATTCATGTAGCCGAAAAAATCGTCTGACTGTGGAAGCAAATAAAAATTCTTGATGACTAAGTAAGTGGTGTATGTGAAAAATAAATTATCGATATGCATGTCTGATACTCCGACCTCAACATTTACTTTGGCGGTTTGGTAGCGTGCTTTTTGTGATAATATGAAGGTTCACAAATGACATGTCGGTTCAAACTACATTCTAACAATCAACACACTCATAAGCAGCTTAACTAATGTTGGGCTTTGTATTTGAGAAATCGATATTTAGAGACAAACGCCTAAGAATTTATGCAGAATAAATAGAAGCTGATTGGTAGTGGCAAATGGAGCTAAAGAGGATAACAATTCCATTTGTTTGAATACGAAGAACGGGTATTAGTTGTCTTAATACCCAACGATAAGTTGATAGAGTCGATCCAATTTTGCAGAATTTGTCATGATTTACTAATACAACTTGGTTTTCGATGAATGACTAGAACGAATATTCTCAAAATGGCGTTAAAAGCAAATTGGCAGAAGATGAACTGAAAATCGAACATTACTTTATCCTTTCCTGCTCACCGGAATAAAAGTGCCACAACTCCAGATGATATTACGAAGAAAGCCAATGAAACAAGGTGAATAAACATCGAAGACACCACCCGGCTCGATAAGTTAGCTACAAGCGAAACTTTCCCTGCCATGGCAGTGCGATATGAAGCAAGTGTCTCGAGCCTCCCACACGCTTCTTCTTAAGGCCAAACTTGAGGAGCAACACCCAGGCGTCTCTGGCGGCAGGCCAGCTGATAAGCGTCGTTTTAAACTCATTGACGAGCTGAGTTCCTAACATCACCTGTCTGGAGCTACCATATTGCCACAAGCGGATTCTTTATTGTCATCGTAGATAAAATGCTCTAAACCCAACCGCATTTAGCATAGAAATAGTACAAAAAGTAGATTGAAATGCGTCTTTACAACGAATTCCCATCTTGGTACATTATTATAAGATGATCTACAAAATATTTTATCCATTAATTTCTGCATGTTCATTTGACGAACAAGAGGAGAATCTCCACCCGAATTTCGAATTCAAAGCTCGAAAATCCATAAAGTGGAACTAAGAACGTGAAAACCACGTGATGAGCCTATCTGGACAGGCTTCGTAACATAAAGCGGGGTTCCATTGTACTAATATGCACATGCATGTTTAAGGCGCCAAGAAAAGGGCGTGAGATCGAGGCAGCGAAGTGTGTTCAGTAGGAGCCGCCGCCCTGGATTGTATCACCTACACTCGAATTCCTGCAAGCGCCAAAAAGGCAGTCGCGACGACAAATTAGTTAGGCGGCTAGTCAAGTCATCGGCAAAAATGTAAATAAATATTCTAAATATTTGTATATATTTATTATATATATAAATATATATTTTATAATATAAATTTTATACAATATATTTTTGTATATTTACATTTTAAGTATTCTCCTAACGTAAATATTCTTGATCCTCGCGATCGATACTTAAGAAAAAATCTGAAGGGTGCGGCTTCAGTACCTTTGATGTTTTAGATGACAACGAGAAAAATAAAGTAATATTTCAAGATAAAGAAGGCGACGAATGAACAATGGAAATCATGCGCGAAAAACCTTCACGGATTGATGCATACGTAAACCAATGACACCAGAATAATCGAAACCAGTTTAGGAGACCAGGTAGTAGGCTTGCTTTTTTTTATCAGCCGACACTATTTTTGCCTCAAAAGGTTATCAGAACATATTCAACTTATTAAAATTCACATACGAAGATTGTAGCGAACAACAAAATATTCATGATAAGATTGCGTAGTTTCAATCATGCATAGCATTCAAAGCCACACTCTACTTTCAGAAGTTTGTAAAAAAAACACGCCTGCAGTTAAGTGAGTAATTAACTCCATTAAGCAAGCTTAGCAAATGCATCTATTAGAAGACACGTCAAGAAGTTGACCTACAACGACACACCCATTGTCACTGAAACATCAC